ACTATATAAGTCTTAGCTATTCTTATTATTAATGTTAGCTATTATTTTTAAATACTTAAAAGAAAGTCACATAGATGAGAAATTACACTTATTCTATTTGGTTCCATGGGGAAGAACTAGGAACTATAACAAGCAGAAAAGTGACAAATTTAAGTTTGACATCAGGAAAATCTTCCTCACAATTACAGCTCTCCTAAAGTGGAATGAACAGTATGCCTTGGGAAGTAGTAGGTTCTTCTTCCCTGGAGATCTTCAAACCAAAGCTGGATCACCATTTCCTGTTGCATTTCAATGGGGATTCTTCTTGGACTTTGGACTGGATGAGATTAGACCAAGGTTCCTTCCCATTCTAAGGCTCTGTGAGAATCACTCTGCAGGTATTCTCTTTAATATGATTTGTCCTGGAATGTAGTTTTTGGTACAACTAGGTGCAGTGGATTGAGCCTTGGACTTGGAAACTGTGAGTTCGAGGGTGGTTTCAGATATTCAGTAGCCACTTGACCATGGACAAGTTACTTAATCCCTTTCTACCTCAATTTCCTCATGTATTTCCTAAGGCTGTTGTGAGAATCAAATAAGATTATGACTTCAAAGCACTTGGCAAACATTTAAGTATTATATAGATGCTGGTGTAATTATTATTATTATCCAAATGAGAAAGACAAAACTTTATTAATTTAGTCATTCCATAGAGACTTTATCTTAAAGCTGAAAGTACAGAACCACAATAATACTGAAGTCAAAGAAATCACTTCATTAGATTTGGTGCCTTTATATACCCATAAACACAGATCTTTGCTTTAGGATATACAGATAAAGATACATGAATAATTTTAAAAGTTAAATACTGAACAAAAAATATCTATCAATCACTCAGTTTTTATTAAGCACCTACTACATGCCAGGCAGTGCACTAATGTATATTTTTATCACTACTGGTTATTTGCATTTCAGGTTTGCTCTATTGCCTGGGCTCTTTGTTTCTTGAACACCTGGGGAGAAAGTAAATGTTCCATCAGAGGAAGAGGTTCTCCTTTTGTTGTGGTGTTAAGGTGTGTTGCAGGGTTGTCTCAAAAGAATTCAGGCTCAGACCCTCTCTAACCCAAGCAAAGGCATTTATTGAGAATTATGCTTTTCAGCAGTGGGCTAGGCTCCTTAGAGTTTAGCAAAGCAAGACAGGGATTTTTATAGGGCAAATAATGTCATTAGCATAACAGAATACATGCATATTAAAATATAGGAGGGATTTGCTAATATGGGAAAGGGTCCTAGCCATGGTGGAACTACTTATGTGTCTATCCAGAATGCATATAGAAAAGCCCACTGCGAGAGGTGTTAATGTATGATAATGATATTATAATAAGCTTCTCTACAGCGTTAAGTTCACTTAAACGACAGTTTTTTCTATTACTGCGCAGGTGTCTACCTAGGGAAAGTCCCTTCTGTGATTTAGTGGTCAAACATCCTGCTCAGCATCCTGTTGGTGCTGTTTTGTTATCGGCTGGCTATTGTGGTCTTATCTAAAACTAGATGGATGCCGTTGAGTTTGTGGACATGCCTGCTGTTCTGGTGAGGCATATGTTAAAGTTGGAATATTGGGGCTGGGGCAACGGCTAGATTCCACCAATTTGTTTGTTTAATATGATTTTATTAATGCTTTAAAAAAAATCAAGGTTAGTTCTCAAAGATCACTCCCCCATACATATGTACATACATACACATACTGAACTTTTTTTTGAAATAAATACGTAAGCTCCAACAAAACAATCCAACACAATGGTTTGTATACCTCATTCTGCACCTCTAGCCTACCACCTACTTTACCATCAGTCCTCTTAAGTAATTCCTAATGACTGTATCTGAGACAGTTGTGAAGTCTTTCAAAGTTTTTTCTCTTCACTCTTCTGAAATGAATGTTGCTTTTATTTTTTAAAAAATATGAGAAAAACCAATGGCAAAGAAAGTAATCCAAGATACTTAAGCCTTTTGGTTGAAATACAAAAATCTTGCCATGAAGCTCATTAGTTAAATAGGAACAAAAAGCAATTCAGAGAGAGGTATTTAGCTGGGAATATTTTCAGTTGGACAGTTTGGAAAACTGCTTTTGCAAAACTTGCATGAGCCCATGGCATGAATTATGCATCACATCAGAATCTCATTTGGTAAGCACACTGACCTCTTGCTATTTCCAGGCTGGTATCCATTGCACACTCAATTAATCAGCAGAGAAATTAGCATGGTAGGTAACAGATGATATTAGAATGAGAGACAACAAGGTGAAAATACTTAACAGCTTTAACATCTAAAAGCATGGAATCCTGTTTTAAATGAAAATGAAACAGAGGGGGGCTTCCCTTTTATTGGTTTAAAGATTTCAGATTAAGCTCTCTATAAAAGAAAAGAGGGATCTCTTTCTAGTTCAAACTATAATAGGGATGGGGAATTAAACTGCCTTTTCCCTCAATTTTTATTCTACTAAAAAAGGCTGGTTGAAATAAAAAATGATTCAATCAACACAAACCATGCATGTAAATTGAGTATTGCAGTCCTTAGAAATAAACAAACCTAGAAATCAGTCAGAGTCCTGACAACATAATGTCAAGGAGCAACTTAATCTCAGATTCATAGCTGGGTCTTGTTCAGCATGGTTGAAAAATAACATATGCATTATACTGCTCTCGTTTTGTTGGAATTGATTATTTATTTTATAGGGAGTCATTTAATAGCTTCTCATAAATAAAACAATTTGTTTTGGTAGTTTTCCATATACACTGCATGCTTCCATTTTTTTTTAAAGCAACTAATAACAGGAAATTGGAAAGAAATTCCTTCTCAGGAAGGCTGAAAACATCCATCATTACTTTCTTACTAAAATGGTTCTGTGATCTCATCCATGGAGGTACTCTGTCTACCAGTTTAAATTATAACATAATCCTGCCTTCTTGTCCTGTGTGACTCTTGACCATATCTTCCCACACATATTCTCTAGATTTTTCTACGCAGAGGGCTAAAGGGGATCTTCTGATTCTCTCAATGTTTCACGGATACTAATGTAGCACTTTGTTGTTCTTCAGTCATTTCAGTTTCAGTTCTGTTGGGTTCTTTGTGACCCCATTTAGAGCTTCTTGGCCTAAAGCAGTTTTGCCATTTCCCTCTCCAGCTCATTTTACAGATGAGGAACTCAGATAAACAGGACTAAATGATTTGCCCAGGGTCATATAGCTAGTAAGGGACTGAGGCCAGATTTGAACTCAGGAAGACTCATCTTCCTGACTTTAAGCCTGGTACTCTATCCACTGAACTATCGAGCTGCCGCCCACCCCCCAGAGGAGTACTAGTGTTATCCATTTATTCTTCTTTCCAATAATATCCTTCCTTGCCACTTCATGGCTAGCCCACTTCCTTTTATAATGCAAGCCATCTTCAGTAATATGCTGTGGAAATTACACATATGCTATCTTTCTATTGCCTTTTGGGGCATCTAAAACATCAATTCTTCAGGGCTCATAGCATTTTGTGATTTTCTAGTGCATTTTCTTTCTAAAAAAACAAAGCTTTTATGGATAATGTAATGCTAGTGCCTTTCCTCTCTTAATGACCTCCAACCTATCCTATAAGGGGCAGCTAGGTGACAGTGGAGATTCATCTTCCTGAGTTCAAATTTGGCCTCAGACACTTATTAGCTGTGTGACCCTGGGTAAGTCACTTAACCTGTTTGCCTCATTTTCCTCATCTGTAAAATGAGCTGGGGAAGAAAAAGGCAAACCATTCCAGTATCTTTGCCAAGAAAACCCCAAGTGGGATCATAAACAGTCAGATACAACTGAATACAACTCAACAACAACATCCTATATTTGGCTTGTTTGTACTGTGAGTTCCTTATGAGCAATAACTTTTCCCCCCTTCTCTGTATCCTCAGCACTTAGCACAGGCATATAGAATAGATAATGATTGATTGAAAATCAGGGGATCTTTGAGCTTTTTTTTTTTACTTGTTTGGTGAAGCCTCTGAACCTCATTCTAGTCATCACCCTTGGAAATTATACCAAAGGGCTCCCAAAGAAATTACTGACTGTATACTTATGTAAAAGTATTTGCACGTAATGCCTTTTACTTGTAATATCCAAGGCCAAGCCTCAGTTTATAAATCATTTGAGACTTCTTATGAGGGAGCTACCTGGTACAATGCATATAGCCTTCGACTCGGAATAAGGCAAAGCAAAGAGAGGAAGGACCCACTGATTTTCTCCTGAAAGGAAAAATCTCATAACGAAATTTAAAGTTTCCATATCAAAGAAAAAAATGCTGTAAGAATCCAGAAAACAGTTCAGATACCAAGAAACTATAGTCAGGATCACACAAGCTCCTACTATAAACGAGAGGAGATCTCGAAATGTAACGTAATATTTAAAAAGACAAAAAATATGGCTTTATGCCAAGAATAATGTACACTGTAAAGCTAAGTGTCATCTTATGGGCGGAAAATGGACTTTTAAAGTAATGGGGGACTTTCAAGCATTTCTGATGAAAAGACCAGAGCTGAGTAGAAATGCTGAAGTACAAAACAAGAGTCAAAAGAAACTCAGAAAGGTAAATTTATCTGAGTAACTGGAAGGAGCTGTTTGATGACTGAGTGCTAACATTCTGATAACTGGAGAAGAAACAAGTATGTAGTCAGAACTAAAGATATTGAGAAAATTAAATAAGAAAAAAAAAGCAGGGATCCTACAGGTAGATTGGCTCTGTTCCAAAGATTTAAAGAGAGAAAGGAGAAGGAAGAGTAAAAGGAATACATTAGTCTAGAAAGGTGAAAGATTAGTGGGGTAGAATTTGCTCTTTCTCATGATTAGAGCCCATGAGAACAAAAGTAAATATGGAGGAGGGGTGGAAGAGTGGACATCAAATGATCTTCACTCTTATCCAAAAGAGATGTAGCAGCACTACACACACACACACACACACACACACACACACACACACACACTGATACAGAAATACAAGTGACTCAACAAAAAAGCAGGGTTTGAGGAGAGGGACAAGTTAAAGATTAATACTAGGAAGACAAAAGTCATAAGCAAAAGCAAAGTTCTTAATCCTAAAGAAGGAATTAAAAGAGGATAGGGAGAAAAAAAAATCTAGAATCTAAGGGGATAGCTTAGAGTGCCTCTTAGGCAAATGGAGAATGGCTGAACAAATTGTGATATAAAAATATTTCTTCATGTCTAAGAGAACCACGACATCATAGAGGTGATGCCGTGATATGCAAGTGAATTGGATTTAAGTGAAGGAGAGCTGTGCAAAGTCATCAGCCTCACTTTTTCCTCCAGAGCCATCTGGGTCCAGTACTAGATACACATCAGGATGACTGGAGATGGCCCCAGATGATGTGGAAGATCTTGGCCTTTTAAAGGTAAGTCTTAATTTGACTGTAGCAATGTCCATTCAGTGATTAAGTCTAGGTGAAAAAAAATAAGGCAAAGAATGGCCTCTTTAACCTAGTCCAGAAATAAAAATCAAACTAGGAAGGGAAGACTGTCGGGGTTTCTGGTCAAAATAGAAACAATTCCTATTTACGTTTACTCTGAGCTAATCTCGGCCCAAAGAATGATCAAGTAGGGTTTGGCCTGGGACCTATAGTTGGCCAATCATTTACAGCCAAAGTGATTTAGATTTAAGGCCTGGTCTTTAAGAAACAAATCCAAGTTATCTTGCAATGTTTCCCCAAAGGGAAAGTAAGATACAGACAGACAGACAGACAGACAGAGGAAAAGGGAAAAGAAAAGAGCTGTATGGCCCAATTGGCCAGTTCCAGTTGGGTTACCAGTGGGGCAGCTCCTACTACTCACAGGGTTACTGTATCCTTCTTTCTCAAAGAGGACCATGACATCATGGCGGTGAATCCAATTCACTTGGAGAGCCTATCACTACTTAGTCTGTATCCCAAACAAATTTTTAAAAAATAGGGATGGAGGATGAAGGGATTATTATATAAAAAATTTATAGCAGCTCTTTTTGTGGTGGCAAAGAATTGGATATTGGTGGGTGCCCATCAATTGGGAAATGGCTGAGCAAGTTATGCTATAGGATTGTGATGTAATATTGTTGTGCTATAAGAAATGATGAGCAACATGGTTTCAGAAAAACCTGGGAAGACGTATATGAACAGATACAAAGCAAGGGAGAGAACTGATAAACTCTGAGCGCAGATTGAAGCACATTTTGTAAACTTTATTTTTCTTTTTTTGTGTGTGTATTTTCTTTTGCAACACGGATAATACGGAAATATTTGTATAACTGATATCACACTGCTTGCCTTCTTGAGGGGCTAGAGGGAGGGAGAGAATTTGGAACTCAAAATTAAAAAAAATAATGTTAAAATTTTTTACATGTAACTGGAAAAAAATGAAGTAAATAAAAACATAATTTTAAAAAGTGACTGTGAAGGTAGGGAAAATGATAACTGGTTTTGAGGTCACAGGACTTGGGTTCATAGCCCAGATTTGTTGCTTAGTATTTAACTTTGGCCAAGTCATTCAAAGTCTCTGAGTCTTAATTTCCTCATTTATAAAATGAAACATCTAGACTAGAGTTTTCTAAGGTATCTTCAATGCTAAATCCTATGGTATGTTATAACCTAAAAGGGAGAATTCTACAGCATTCTCTGGAAAATGAATCCAGTGGAATTTATTGTACTAAATGGAAAACTACTTGGAAAAACTATTTTATTCCATAAGAACAGAGTGTATAGGTAAACTAAGTTGCCTAAATAGGGGATGAGGAATAAAGTAGAACAAAAGCCTAGGTGTAAAAAAGTGGGAGAAAAGCAGAAAAAAAACCTTGCAATTCAAGGTACTTCTCTCTTCACTGAATACAAAGAAAAATCACTTAAATTGCAACTTTTTTTTCTTATCCTACTTTCCTCCTGCTTACATAACTTTTTAAAAAATTGAATGGACCAGAAATTTTCCTGTGAGTAAATTTGCTCTACCAATGCTGTTTGGCATTTCTTCCGAAACATACAATCTTAGAGAGTGGCCTGAGGCCCAAGTTGCCCATTAAGTAGCACAACAGCACCACGTTTGATACTGAGAAGAAATGAGGAAATGTATCTCCCTCCTTTCTTTGGTGTAGGAGGAAGAGTGGTCAGGCCCCCTAGGTGGGGAATACTGCATATACTTTTAGACTTACTTGATGGGTTGGTTAAGTTTGCAAAGTTGCTTTTTTACCCACCCCTTTTTCTTATTTTTTTTTTTTTTTAACAGAAGATGACTCCTTTCTTTTTATACACACATGTACACATATGTGTACATATTACATATATACCCATACAGATGTCAAGTCCTGAAATAAATGAAGCCTTGAGTTGAAGAATAAAGTGTCTTTAATTGAGATAAGAAGGTAGCAAACCTGCCACTCTGGAGGATGACTAGTGGATTTCCCAACTCCAAGACAGATGCAAAAACTTCTTATACCTTTAAAAGGAAGCAGTATGAGGTAGCAAGGCCTGGTCATGAAACCCCAATAGCCCCTGGAAATCTGGGAAAGGAAAGTCACTTCATTCTGCTACCCTTTGTGCCATGAATCCCAATGGAAGGGGGCAAGGGCACTAGAAGCTGAAATCCAGCTTCAGCTGGGCCCCTCACAAGGTAACATCCCTGGGTAGGAAGACCTAGGTTGTGGTTTGGCTCACCCTAATCAAGAGTAAATATCTTAAGAGTAGGGATATAAGAACATCATTGGAATTCTGACATTACAAGGACCATTAAAGGGAGTAGCAGTCCATATTACATTTGGTATTCACCATTTCTGTCATTATATTAACAATTTTCTGTCACAGACATGCATAGATATGTGTATACATGTATGCATATATAGAGATGTATACCCATATACCTGTATATACACATGGTGAACCAAACGTTTTAGTGTACTTTCAAGCTAATATATATGTATATATGCATACATATACATATATACATATACGAATATATGCATATATGTGCATATATACACATATATGTATATATGCATATATATGTGCATATATACATATATGTAAAAATGAAAGTGATATAAAAAACAAAAGATATCAATAGTTTAAACAGTTCAGTTGCCTAACAGCTATAAATATGCATTAAAAGAGGGAGTTTTATTACTTTTTTGTTTTTGTATGACTACACATGTATAACCTGTATTGAGTTGCTTGCCTTCTCAATGAGAGTGGGTGGGGAGGGAGGAAGGGAGAAAATTTGGAACCTAAAGTTTTAAAAACAAATGCTAAAAAATTGTTTTCACATGCAACTGGGAAATGAGATATGCAGGCAATGGGGTATAGAAATCTGTCCTGCCCTACAGGAAAATTGAAGGGGAAGAAGATAAAAGGGAGGGCAGATTAGGGGAAGGGGTATTCAGAATACACACCATCTTGGGGTGGGGGGAGGGATGAGATGGGGGAGAAAATTTGGAACTCAAAATCTTGTGGAAGTGAATGTTGAAAACTAAAAACAAATCAATAAAATCTGAAAAAAATAAAATAGAGTAGCAAAAAAAAAGAATTCATTATTTGGTAAAAAATTTTTAGGAAAAATGGAAAGCAGTATGGTAGAAATTGCACATAGACCAATATCTTACTAAGATAAGGTCAAAATGGATACATGACCTAGATATAAAGAGAGATTTTCCAAGAAAATTAGAAGAACATGGAACATATTACTTATCAGACTTATGAATAGGTGAACAATTTATAAAAAGACAAGAGATAGAGAGCAAAGTTGGGGGTAAAGTGTATAATTTTGGTTACATTCAATTAAAAAGCTTTTGTACAAGTAAAACAAATATAGCTAAGATCAGAAGGAAAGCAGAAAGTTGAGGAGAAAATTTATAGACAATTTATCAGATAAAGGCCTCATATCTAAAATATATAAAGAACTTTGTCAAATCCATAAAAATATGTCATTCCCCAATTGATAAATGCCCAAAGGATACAGACAGGCAATTTTCCAATGAAGAAATCAAAATAATTTATAGTCACATGAAAAATGCTCTAAATCATTATTGATTAGAGAAATGCAAATTAAAACAATCTTGAGATATCATTTTACCCCTACCAGATTGGCTAAAATGATAGAAGAGGAAAGTGACAAATACTGGAGGGGATGTAGAAAAATTGGGACACTAATTCATTATTGGTGGAATTGTGAACTAACCCAACTATTTTGGAGAGCAATCTGGAATTATGCCGAAAGAGGTATTAAACTGCCGATATCCTTTGTTTTGGCAGTACCACTAGCCAGTCTGTTTCCAAAGATGATTAGGGAAAAAGGAAAAGAAGATATAAGTTTGAAAATGTTTATAGCAGCTCTCTTTGTAAATGGCAAAGAACAAAATCACAGGGATGCCCATCAATTGGGGAATGGCTAAACAAGTTGTGGTATATGATTGTGATAGAGTACCACTATGCTATAAGAAATGATGAACTCAATGATCTTAGAAAAACATGGAAAGGCTTGCACGAAATAATGAAGAGCTAAATGAACAGAACCAAGAGAACATTGTATACAGTAACAGCAATACTGTTTTACGATCAACTGAGTGAATAAGTTATTTTGACTATTATAAATACCCAAATTAACTAAAAACATATGAAGAAAGATGCTATCTGCATGCAGAGAAAGAACTGATAAATCAAAGTATGTACAGAACAATTTCATATTTGTATACCTATTTGTGTATAATGGTAGCCATCTCTAGGGTAGGGAAGAGAGGGGAGAGGGAAGGAAAAAAAGAGAAAAATTTACATGATAATTTTGTTATATGTGAAAGGAACAGTAAGTTGTACATAAGAGATTTACAGTTTCATATGCAATTATCTCTGTTATGGTAATGCCTTGAATTCCATAAATTAAAAATAAAATTTTAGATAAAAAGAATGAAGGTTGACTTTGAGTGAAATCTATAGTGGATTATGTCAGGAATCTATCCTTGACAAGGATGTCATTTCTCTCTCCCTTCCACCTCCCCTTTCTCTCCCTCCCTCTAAGATTTTATAATTTCATATCTACTAGTCAGTTCACAACAGGTGGGTAGTAAACTGTTGACCCACAGCTTGAGGGCATAGCCTTTATCTTTCCACAAAAGAAGCAAATATTACTCTTTCAGTACCCTGCAAAGGTTAGAAGAGATATTCATAATATAATGTTCTCTACTTGATTAAAAGCACATATCAAAGTCTGCAATGATGGGGACATTTTACTTCACTGCTTTATTAAGAATCCAATATGGCATTACTTCCTCCTTGCCTTCTGGGAGAATACTTACTAAATCTCCATAAGGAGAAAGGACAGGCATCTTCAAGCAGATTTGTTTAATTTCATGGGACAACTTAGACTTAAAGGATCCTAGAGTTGAAGGGACTTTAGCAGTCATCTGGTGCAACCCTCATTCAGTGGCAGCCTTACTTCTGCAACATCTTGCACAGGTAGTCATACAGCCTCCACCTGAGCCTTTCTCCGGAGACAAGAATATGTTACTTCATGAGACAGTCCATTTTAGTAAAAGTTCTGTTGCTGTTTTTTTTTTGGGGGGGCATTGCATAAATCAATCAATTATCCTAGCCAACAAAAATTAAGTAACAATAAACTAAAGCCTGATAACCTCCCTCAGATGAGAACAATCAGAGGTATGAACTAGGTGTGACTTAGAAGTTTTTAAAAGGCATTGGATAAACTGGAATAACATTGTTTGAACAGTACAACCAAAATGTTTTAGGAGACATGATCGCCCCCTGTGGGTTTTGCATAAAATAGCAAGCCCAATGCAGAATTCATGCATTTGAGAATCTGGCATTTTAGTGGTGGAAGCCTCCAGACAAGCTCTTGAGAAGGAACCAGTAGGAAAGGAGAGCTCTGGCCCCACCTTCATCTGTCTCCTGCACCACCCTTACATGGAACCGTCATCTCCATTTGGGTCTGACCAACTTTCATTCCCTTCCAGGTTCTGCTTTTGACTTTCTGGAATTTGCCACCATGATTCCTTTGCCTAGAACTTCTCTCAGAACCTGAGGCCTCCTCACCTTGGAACATCCCTCCCCCTTTGTGGCCTCTTCATGCTGGAGCATCTTTCCTTTGTTGTAACCATCAGTTCCCTCTCAGCCATGTCTGTTCTCCTTCTCCCCCTGATGAGCTCCCCCTAGGGCCTCCTCCTGCATGAGGACCTTCTCTCCTTCCCTGCCCTTTCCCCCTCCCTTTTTGTGTATTGTCTTCCTCTGTCAGATTGTAAGGTCCTTGAAGGCAGAAACTGTTTTTTCTTTTTGCTTACACTTCTATCAATCCTCAGTGCTCAAAAAAGTATCTGCATACAGTAAGTACTTAATAAAAGCTTCCTGCCTTGCCTTGCCTTGTGGATTTCATTAAGGGGTCCTGATTTATGTTTATGCAAAAAAAAAAAGATTTTTAAGGGGTTTGGGATTGTTATTTTAGCAGTGTGAGGAATTCTTGGTGTGAACACTCTCTTCATAGATTCTGTTTTTTTATTGTCTTGGAATTATTTAGGGGCACCACAAATAGTTACGTGATTTGCCCACATTATATAGCAATTCACTGTTAGAAACAGAGGGTCTTCCTGACTCCAAGGATGGAGCTCTACACCCACCTCCTCCTCCTCCTCCTCCTCGATGCTCCTCCACAGGAATCTTTTTGGTGGTAGACTCGGTTTGTTTTCTTGCTTTTGTTGTTGCTGTATGTCAGTTTGTTTTTTTTACTGGATCTATGATTTCATCAGTGTAGGGAGCTCCCAGGAAGAAAGTTCCTCTAGAAAAACAGGCCCATACCTTGTCTACCACTTAAAAGTCTTGAAGAGTTAGTTGCCTAGGAGTAATGAGAGGTAAAGCTACTTAACCAGGGTCATTCAGCCAGTAGTTATCAAATGTGGGACTTGAACCCAGGTCTTCTTGATTCCAAGTCCAGCTGTTTATCTACTACACCACACTGCCTCTCACATGAAATACAATGCATTTCAATTGATAAAAACAAAATTCCTAATCCATGACAATGAGGATTTTTTATGCAAACATCTTAGTGGCTTATTGTTAATAATTATGATGGCTATGGACAAGAACCTATCCATTCCCTTCTTTCCGTTCATACAACCTGTAACTCATCTCATTACAATTAGCTTCAATCATCACAATAGTCTTTACAATGCTATCCCTGTCTGCCTCTGGTCTTTTCCCTTACAGCAAACTGATGCCCCTAAAGCATGGAGCAGATCATGTCATCATCCCACTTCTCTGCTCAAAAGCCTTAATGACTACCCTAGTATCTCTAGGATAAAACGCAAACTTTTTTTTTTCTTTAAAGCCCTCCATAATCTGGTTTTCACTTAACTTTCCAGTTATATTTCATATTATTTCCCTTCATTGACTCTACTTTCCAGGTAAATACACCCATTAGATATTCATTTGTGTGTGTGTGTGTGTGTGTGTGTGTGTGTGAGAGACAGAGACAGAGAGAGAGAGAGAGAGAGAGAGAGAGAGAGAGAGAGAGAGAGAGAGCGAGAGCGTGAGCAAATTTGTGGTTTGATTAAGATAGGGGACTTTTGATGTAGTAACTCCTTCTACGAATATCAGTACCTGCCCTGAAGCTTACAGAGAATCAGCTGAATTTGTCATAGAATTGGAGATCTAGGGCTGGAAAATATGTCAAAGACAATCTCGTTTAATGCCCTTATTTTACAATTAAGGACACTGAGTCCCAGGGAGATTAAGCAACTTGCTCAAGGTCACATAGGTAGTAAGCATTAGAGGCAGAATTTGCCAGGTTCTCGGATTCCACGGCCAGTGGACTTTCTACTATACCACCCTGACTCTTTCATAGACATTTTGATTTTACTCATATGTGTTTGAATGGTATTTCCCCCAACAGAACTGAAGATCCTTAAAATCAGGGACTGTTTCATTTTTGCTTGCGTATCCACAGACCCTGGCACAGGGTCTGGCACGTTGTAAGTGGTCACGAATTTCTTGTTGATTAATTGATAGAACATTGGACTGAATTTTTTAAAATAAAATTTAGTAGGGATAATTTAAAGTCTCACATTTGGGTTTTTAAAAGAATAAATTTTTTTGATGAGTTCCTTCAAAAAAGTCCTGTAAATTTCAGTGAATTGAAATCTCAGTGTGAATCAATAGTATGCCATAATGGCTCTGTGGTGCTGGGCTGGCCACTTAATCTCTGAAGGCCCCTTGGTAACTCCTATTAAGTTTCAAATAAGGTGTCAATCTTCATTAGTGAAGACACAAATACCAATAAAATTGGACCATCAATCCAAAAAATGTTTAAAAGGCAACATGCTGATTTTTCTATCAGTCTTTCTAACTATTATGTCATCTTTATTTTTGTATGATTAGTGCTTTGAACATATTAGGCATCTAATAAATGTTCACTGATTTGAATTATTGTTGAGTTAGGCAATTTTTACATATGATTATCTTGTCAAAGTGAAAACAGGGAGAGAGGTGGGAGGTGGGAGGTGGAAGGAAAATAAGAAAAGGTTGATTTTGCACATGAAAAGTAAAGCAATAAATATTTATAATAAGATTGCTGATAATAAGGATCGGTAATTTAGATCAGAGACTTACAGGTAGGGCTGTTTTTGCTTTGTTTTTAATAATAATTCACAAATAGTTAAGTTGAAGTTAATATATTATAATACCTGATCAATCTCAAGATTTTATCCCTTGGCAAGGAAGTTTTTCTTGGATTTTTAGAGCTGAGAGGGAACTGAGTGATCATTTACAGATGAGGAAATATATCTAGAGGGTCAAAGAATTTGCCTAAGCTAACAGAGGTAGTTAATAGCAGAGCTCAAACTACAACTCATGATTCTCTGGCTCCCACTGAGGTGTTCTTTCTACCATACCACATTCACAGGATCCAAAACCAGAAGAATTCTTATGTAGTCAGTCCAATCTTCTCATTTTGCAAATGAAAAAATCAAGGCTGAGAAGTTAAACCCCTTAACTATTATTAATTATACACATAAGCAGCACAGCCAGGATACAAACACATGCCCTGATTCCAAATCCAGCATTACCAGAATAGAGGCAGCTTCAAGGACTGCCCGTTTCTTTAAGTGAAAACAGAACACGAAGAGCTTTTAGGAAACATTAAAATTAATATGAGAGGCATCATGGTACAATGGAAAGAGCCTTGGACTTGGAGTCTGGAAGACCTAGGTTCTAATACTACCTTAGCTATGTGACCTTGGGCAAGTCATTCAATTTTTTGGTGCCTTAATTCCGATAGACAGATAGATAGATAGATAGATAGATAGACAGACAGACAGACAGACAGACAAACAGACAGACAGACAGACAGACAGATAGACAGATAGACAGATAGACAGATAGATAGATAGATAGATAGATAGATAGATAGATAGATAGATAGATAGATAGATAGATAGATAGATAGATAGATAAGGGGTTGGACTTAATGGCTTCTAGGTCCCTTCCAACTTTAAATCTAAATATTATGAACTAGTAGTTTTTCCAAGTATAAAAACCAGGAGTATTTCCTAACATGTACATTATATACATGTATATAGTATATCTCACAATTAGTACCCATTCCAAAAACACAACAGACTTCCTGGAGTGTGCTAGAGCCAGCTCTCCTCTCCTGAGAGCTGATTGTTAAATTATTGTTGTTAGAATTTACACTTCAGAAAGAGGCAAAGATCACAAATCTGGGTTTGATTTATTGCTTTGCTGACTCTAGACTTAAGAAAATGGTAGAGAAAATGTTAATTACACAGATTAAGCTTAAAAGTGTATCCTACATACATTTACCCCCGGAGAACTGCTATTTAAACAATAATCAGCCTGCCTCTGGACTTTAAATCAGAACAGCCCGAGTTTGAATCTTACCTTAGACAACTGAGACCCTGGACAAGACAAACCTCAGTTTCCTCAACTGTAAAATGGGAATGATGGTAGTACCTACTTCACAGGACTGTTTAGCCAAACAGCACCATCCAACCAAAAGTATATACTACAAAGCCCACTCCAAAAACCTTAACAGTTGATAATACTCACCTCATTCAACAGAGACCCAAATTTATTGCTACCACTCTCCTCCATCCTAGGGTTACAGCTATCTTGACCAGGAGACACCTTTGTCAATGCACTTGTAAGTCAAAACATTACCTGCCCATCTTTGATCCTCTTGGAGAATGAAGGACAAGCAACAAATCTTTGTCATTGTGAAGGTGACAGCTCCTTAGCAATCAACTAGCAGGAATTAAGCTCTGTTTTTGTGCTAGTCCCAACTAGGAATACAAAGTCAAAAGCAGCCTCTGCCCTCAAGGCACTTAACATTCTAATGAGGGGAGGGAGAACCTCAGGTTCAAATCTAAGTACGTGCAGAAAAGAATAGGCACCCAGGGGAAAAGCAGTTTTGAGAGGGAGGGAATTAGCAACCTGAGTAATCAGGAAAGGCTTCATATAGGTGGTGCTCGAGCTCAGTCCTGAAGGAAATCAGGGATTCCAGGAGGTGAAATTGAAGAGGAAGGGTATTCTAGGCTTGGGAGACAGCTTGGCCAAAGGCAGAGTCTGGAGATAGAGAAACAGCAAGCAAACTGGTATGACTGGACCACAGGACAGCATGAATAGAGAAGGGAATAAGCATGAGAATATGTAAAAAAGACTGGAAAGGAATGTAGGAAGGGACCAGGTTATGGAAAGCTTTAAATCCCAGACAAAGGCAGTGCAGTCATGCAAATGGTAAAGGTAAGGTAAAGTCCTTGTTTTATTAGTCATATATATATATATACACACACACACACACACACACACACACACACACACACACACACACACACACACACATATATATTTGTGAGGCAATTGGGGTTAAGTGACTTGCCTAGGGTCACACAGCTAGTGTCCAGTGTCTGAGGTCAGATTTGAACTCAGGTCCTCCTGACTTGCTGTCCCATTATTAGCCTTATTTTAAAAGGCCAGACTGATGACCTCGCACAGCACTCCCTCACTTAAAGCCAATTCACTTGCAAGTCATGATATCACCTTTCTGATGTCATAGTCCTCTTCAAGAATCAAAGACAAACAAACAAATTGAATACTGCCTGTTTTTAGTGTGTATTCAATCACAGGTTATGGAACCATGGAGGCATGAGAGAGATTTAGAGCTTGCTTAAGTCCACTGCTCTCATGTGACTGATGAGGAAAATGAGGCCCCAGGAATTTGATGTGCCCAAGGTCACAAAGACATTCAACAGTAATGCTAGAATTCAAACCGAGGTCCGCTTGACTCCCAAATCCATCGATCTTTCCATTATGCCACAATGTATCTGTCCTGTAGCTAATCAATAGCAAGAAAGATTAAAAAA